TTCAGCCCTCAGAGGCAGTGGTAGATGCAGGTCTGGGAAAGGCCAAGCCCTCTACTGAACAGCTGGGACACGGGGTGTTTTCCTCTTTGTGCGCACTGCTGCCTGTTGGAGACTTCACATTTCAGACCAATACCATTTCCCTCCAGACAGTCCTGCTGCTTTCAACTACTCACTGGTGGCTCAGTAGCTCCTGGTGTCTCCTGAATAGTTGGAAATGCAATTTTTCTTTGAACTCCAGCTTAAGGTAACCTCTGTGGAAACCGGTACCTTTTTGCCCTCCCTTTTCCTTGCGGTGGTCCTGTTAGGTCGATTTTACCTACCACGTGTGTATTGTCATCCTGCACACACAGGTTACAGCAAGCTGCTCTCAGCGTGTCTTCTTGCTGTGCTTGCGTTTCTCCGGGAGAGGACGGAGCCACTAGCTTTAGGAGGGACATGCCCCTAGGTCCTGCCACCAGCCAGCTCTGCCCTGCAGTCTGCTCGAGGTTTGCTTGCCAAGGGAGGAGCACATGGACGTGCACATTCAGACCATTCAAACCCTGCCCTGTTCAGACCCAGGCTGAGTCAGAAGGAAAAGCAGGGACGCTCCTTCTGTCTCACCTACTTAAAGCTGAAGCGTTTTGCCGCCAAAAGGCTGCAGCCTAACATTGCAGATGTATGTTGAGGGCAGTGCTGCGTGGACCCGATGTGATTATATTGAGGGCAGTGCTGCATGGACCCGATGTGATTATATTTGACAGCACATCAGTTAAAAAATAAAAATAATAATAAATTACTGTAATACAGAAGAGAGCATTGTACCGTAGTGAAATCAGGGTCCCTGTTTCTCTAGAGTCCACAGTGATTAAATAATTGCAATTTCCAGAGAAAACCTGCATGCTGTTTGCATGTGAGGCTGGGTTTTTTCTTTTAAGACCTCAGCTTAGTGAAGTAGTTAATCTAGAAAGCACTTCAACGCTGGTTTCACTGGGACTATTCACAGGCCTAATTATTCCGCTAGATCAGGGCTAAGTCAAATGTTTTCTTTTTTTTTTTTTTAAATGCAATTAAATACTCCAGCAAGTCCTCTAGGAGCGCTTTAAAGAGGTGAAGTTTAGCTGAAGCATTGGGAGTTCACATGCCAGGGTCCCCTTGCTGTGCCGATGGCGACTCCTGGTCTGTGGTGGCAGCTGGGTGGGTAAGAGGGGACGTTTCCCTGCCGGGGGGGGTGTGTGCCTGCCTGCATCCACGTGCTCCCATCACAATAACCACATCAAAAGAACAGGGGGGGTTGTAGTTTTCTTTAAGCTACAGAAAGGCAACCAGCTCTGTACTAACGACAGGCACGTGTATATGCTGTTGTATGTACTTTGCAGATAAATGCTGGGAGTCGTATAGGAAATAAAGCCTCCTCCACCCCCTTCCCTTACAGAGCCTTCCAAAAAAGACCGTGTCGCTTTGGTCTTACATCAACAGCCAACTGGAAGACTTCACCAACCCCTTGTACGTCAGCTACTCCAACCACGTCCTGTATCCCGTGGCCAGCATGCGCCACCTCGAGCTGTGGGTCGGCTACTACATCCGCTGGAACCCCAGGATGAAGCCACAGGTACGTCTCTTCCGAGGGTCCTGCTTTCATTCCCTCTCTGCTAGTGCTAATAGTGTCATTTTGGAGCTCCGGACCTTTGAAGCACAAGAAGCAGCGTACAAACTTGATGCTGCCACTGCTTAAATCTAAACCCAAAAGCCTAAATTCAAATGTGAGTAAATGAAGGAGCAGCATCTACAGCTGGCTGGTGCAGGCGCTCAGCTGGAGGTCGCTGCCACGTGAAATCTGCAGGAGCTGAAGATACTTGGCAGTTTGGAAAATTTCTCAGGATATGGGGAAAATTATCTAAATTCTCTCTTCTTTACAAAGGAGCCTAAAAACCTCAGACTTCTTTGGATGTGGGATTCTGGATGTGAGCTTTGGGGCTGTATGCAGATTACCAGCGACAGGAACCTGCTGCTTGCTCTGGCTGCCCAGGGCACGGGGCTCTGACTGCAACCCTGCGACTCTCTTGAACCCTGGCTGGACAAGCAGCCCGAACCCAGCCCGAAATGCTGAAATCATTTTTCAATAGGAAGGGACAAAAATTCCTGGATTGCCTCAATGTCTAGCCGCAGTCATCAGAGCTTTGCAAATCTGGGGGATTAGATACAGGAACCCAACAAATGCTTTCCAGTATGAACTGTTTAACAGTCAAAACGACATGAAAACATTTCGGTAACTCTCTGTTGGGTCTTTTCCCCCCAAAGACCTGACCTTACGTCCAGGCTGAGATGCCAAGGCCAGTGTCCCCCAGACATGTCAGACTAGAGTTTTGTAATTGTCGTCTTTCCAAATTTCCAAATTTCCAAATATTTTGTTTAGCCCCTAAGGCCAGTGTCCCCCAGACATGTCAGACTAGAGCTTTGTAATTGTCGTCTTTCCAAATATTCCAAATATTTTGTTTAGCCCCCGTTGCACTGTGCGTGTTGGATAGAACAAGTATCCCAAAGCCAGAGCAACTACTCACCCCTGGGCTGGAGACAGTGACGTAACCCACGTACCAGCCTTCCTTCCCTCATAGCTGCGCACCTTTTGTGGCTCAGGCTTCCGCCCCCAAGCCCACGCTTACCTCCCAGCACTCAGCTACACCTTCTCTTGCAGGAACCTGTCCACAATCGCTACAAGGAGCTTCTTGCCAAGCGGGCTGAGCTGCAGAAGAAAGTGGAGGAACTGCAGAGAGAAATCACCAACCGTTCCACCTCGTCCTCGGAGAGAGCTGGCTCTCCCGCGCAGTGTGTCACTCCTGTACAGACAGTTGTATAATACGGACTTTTTTTTGCCCAGGACCACGGGGGCAGCTTTTCTGAAACCCTCCGGATTTCCAGTCTGGTGTCTGGGAGATGCCAACCTATTTATTTATTTCTCTCCAGGGTAATTTATTAGTACTGTAGCACTAGAGGAAGCTTAAGCAAAAACAAACAAACAAGGCCCCCTATGCAATTAACCTTCTCAGTGGCTAGATTCCAATACAAGCTAATTGCACTTGCCACCTAAGAGCTCGCTCTTTGTTCGCTTACCTGCTGGAAATCGCGTGGCTTTAAAGAGAGGCTGGGCACTAGAGTGAAGAACTGCGGAGGCAAAGCGTCTGCTGAGAAGTTTGAAAAATCTCCCCTTGGCTAAAAGGAACTGCTGACTGTGGCTGCACTGGAGCCTAGAACAGGGCTGCAGTCACGGAACCCTCCGCTCTGAAGGCCTGCAGAGGGGTGTCGGTGAGAGCGTTTGCCAGCACACCCAGGGACAAGCAGCGATGGCGTCTGAAACGCATCACTGCTCTCGCTTTTCCCTTTGCTTTGATCTAGACCATAGGAAGCCATGTAAGCGATGCCTTATTTAAAGACAGGGCAGCTTCTACCAGTAAAACACGGTGGTAGAGGAGCAACCTACGTGACTTGACTTTGTAGGACATTTACTTCCATCTCCACAAATTTAGGGTCTCCCTTACGGTTTAGTGTGGTGTGCCACTTCAGCACCGCTGTTTCTGAGGGGGTAGCAGAGCGTGGCTCCCCTGGGCTTTCTGCAGCTCCCCTGTCCTCCAGTGCCTCATGCTCATCGGGGAGAGGCAACGGAACACCAAGGGGCACGTGCAAACTGCGGGATCGGTCATTTCATTTTGCTTGGGTCAGCGTAGTTAGTGACCTTAATGCTTCTGTGCGGGATCATAGTGGCGTACTTAAGGTATTTTGGTTTTCTGTTAACTAATGGAAGCAACTGTCTATCAACCAAAGAAGCCTTTCTGCCTGCATTGCCACTGCTGCTTAAGCTTATTCTGGTAGACCAAACAGCTTAGCCAGTTTCTGAGCCCTACCTTTGGGTCTCTTTCCTCATAGCATACGTCAAGAATTAGTGGCACCTGACTGAAAACTTAAGTCCAAATTCAATTTTAATACAAAATTTTACTGTAGAAGTGGAGATAAAAAACACACGTGGTGAAATCACAGCTGCCCCACTGCTCTTCCAAACAGTGAAGCGCAGGGTTGTAGAAGATGGGGCTCACAGCAAAGGAAGTTATGTACGTGCCAGGATCTTTACTCCGGGCCACTTCTCATCTCCATGCACTGCTCGGTCTGGGTTCCATGCTGCTCTTTTGTGACAGGAGCCCATACTGTGGTCACCTCTTTAATGTGCCCATCGGCACGCTGCTGCGCTCTGCCCCTCTTCCGCGATAGGGAAGTATTTTCTGAGAGGGTACAAGAGGGGACCAATTTACACATAAGAAACTGCCTTTCAAAAGCCACATTCCTTCCAAGGCGGTACCAGTAATTGCCCCCGTCCCGGATCTCCATCTCTGCCTGCTCTACCGCAAGAAGCATCTCCGTACTTACGCAGCAATCCACAGCCACCTCCTGACGGAAGGAGCAGCGGGCTCTATAGCACCGCCGCATCGGTTACGGGGCTCAACAGCGCAAAGGACCCACACAAAACCCCTCCTGAAGGACTTGGATTTGCTTTAAGGCGAAAGGGCAGATCTGCTCTTGCGTACAATCACGATGTAAGATGGTTCATAGCGTTATTCTGTATCAACAAATTGACTACATGTGTATATTTTGTTTCTTGATGAAGGCTGTTTGGTTTCCTTAACACTAATAAAAACTGATAAATGGGTAAAGTTCCTGTGCTCTGATTTTCGAATGTGTGGTTCTCCAAAGGACGTGTAGGGCATGCAAACGTTAATAAAATAGCACTGAAAATTCAGTATGCCAAAGCCAAGTCTCGTTCTTCTGCAGATGGTCTTGGAAGATGCTAATATTCAAACTCTGTGATTTAGAATGACAGGAAAACAAAATTCATCTTTGGACAAGTTTCTCTTAACCTACACAGACCGGTATTAATACAGACACAGTGCTTAGCTGCTCAATATTACAAAAATACTTTCACAATACAAAAAAAGTCAAATAATTTTTGCACTTTACAGTGCCTTAGCACAGTAACTTCTGTGTAAAAGGAAGATCCACATTTTTCTGTGCAACTCATAAGCCCAAATTCACTGGGATGACATGGTATCACCTCAATGCCCGCTCATTGATGCTTTCGCCCCCCAGTAGGCTTAATTCCACCTTGGGCACCTTCTTCACTGCGTGCAGCACATATGGAGCCAAAAATACTCCTAAGCCCTCCATCATAAGAGGCCGGGTGAGGACAGCCTGAGGTAATGCTGAAGTTACCCCATCTTCAGGCAAGCTGATCCCCAGAGGCCCTTCCCAAGCAAAATTCCTGAGTGTAGTTTCAGGTGCTGACCTTCAGGAACCTCGGGGATGAGCTGCTCACCACGCAGTTGCTCCAGCTACCCAGAGCCCTCGTCTCTAACATAGATGAAGTAAAGGGGGATGGCTCCAGGCCTGAGTAACAGCTTCTGACTTTGCCCCTCACAGCCTGTGCCTCGCCTGCAAGCAGGGTGGATCACCTGCAGGTAATCAAAACTCAAATCCCTTCTGTCTGTGCTGACCCCACCGCTCCCTGCCCTTGCTACAGGCAAGGCTGGGCAGCTCTGAGCCTCGCCCTACCTGCAGCTTGCTAGCAGCTCAGAGCCATCACCCTGACCGGGGGGATGTCACGTCACCACAGGCAGCACACCTGCAAACACTGCGTTAATTCAGAGGAAGTGCAGTTTTCCCATAGTTCATTCAACAGGCAAGCTGGCTTTATTATTTTTCAACTCTATAAAACGGGTCATCTGGGTCTTCTATACCTTCCATTAATAGGAAAGTCTCTACATTATTAACATAATAAATAACATTTACTCAGCTGTGCAAGTCAGAGTGCAAAATGAATCGCACCACTACCACAGTAGATAGAGAGCTCATCAAAGCACATGTTTCAAGTTAAAAGCAAGATGCCAGGACTGAATAGCATGATTGAGGCACTTGCAGGTTAAAACACTCGTGGTTATCTCGCTCCTTTACCACCCATAGCTGTGGACTAGGAGATGGGATGTTACCCCCCATCCTGCAGCTTTTTCATAAAGTAGGATTTCTGTGGAAAAATTTTACTCTTCAGACCTGAAAAGAATTGAGTCAATCATTAAGCAAAATAATTCAGAAAAAGTTATTCTACTCCTTTTTTGAGTACTCAAACATCCATCGCCATTAGTGCTGACCAAGGCAGTGTAGCAGAACAAGAACTGGGAAAGCTTTTTTGAGGAGCGCTCCGCAGAACACCTGCAACGGGTTTACCTGTTCTCCGCCAGACACTCTCGGGGCTTGAGTAATCGCAGCTGCCACGGAACAGAACTGACAAAAGCCCTCGAGACCGGGGGTCGCAGCATCGCTTTCAACACGATGCATCTCGAGAAGCCTCCCGACGCACGGCTCAGCAGTAGCGCGAGATCACACCGGCATTTCGCACAGGCCAACCCACGTGAGCGCGTGGTGCTCGGTGTGCTGAAAGAAAACTGAAGGACTGCTGGCACTGTAGCACGAAAGGAACTGCTGGGGAGACCTATGTTCAGATTCAGTGACCGGGTACCTTAAAAATAGAATGTGTTTTAAATGAGACCATAATAATCAAACCCAGGGATGGAGAATTCAGGGCCTGTAGTCCAAAAGTGCAGTCAGCATACAGTAGTCTCTTTCACACAGCAAGGAAGGCAGCTGCTTTATATCCAGAACGTGAGGCAATTTGACCAGGATGGTGTCAAGAACATTTCCTGCAGAACAGTCAGTAGTCCCAGCTGATATCGTCTTTCTGTAGTGAAGTCTGTATGGTCTGCATGTCTCTCAGCAACTGAAGATTTTTCCGACTCTTCTCTCCAGGTTTCACTTTGATGGGACCGGCATTCTTTCCTTTTGTGGTTACTGTAGTTGTTACTTTAACCTCACTAACGGGGAACCTGCTGTCTTTTGTTTGTTTAGTAGAAGTCTTTTTGGACCTGCATTCTCTCTTAAGTCTCTCTAGCTGAAAGAGAAATACAAAGAAAAATGTTAAGCAGTGACCTTCTTTCACTTTACGTTGCTGAAGCACCCGCCACTCACCTCACCCAGCTAAGCAAATGGATGCTCCCAAGTCACCCTGAATAATAAACATTTTGTTTTCCTTACACAGCATTGCTATATTTGCATCTTTAGAGCAGTGCTCAGCTTATAGTCTGAACTACTAGGTTAAAAAACCTGACAAGTTTAAAAACTGACAAGTTGATTACGGGGGAATGTCTGCATCATGAACATAACAAAGTTATGTATGTCAAAAAGTTCCTTTGTAACTGTTGCCATCCAGTGCTTGAAAAATTTGTTTGGTTGGGTTTTGGTTTTTTTTTTTTTGACGCACATGCTAGTGATTTTAATAGCTAGTCACTGTCAGAGACATAGCTGTAAAAAATACCAACACTTTGCTGAGGTGAAGGGCTGGTATCCACACACAGCACTACAAACCAGAGCTGGTAAGACGCAGTACTCAGCAGCAAGCACTGCACTGGCATAAGCTTCAGCGGGGAAACGGACGGAGTCTACGGTGCAGACACATTTGTATTCTCAGTTCAGGTAGTGCTGCTCCTTGCTCCTGGTTCATAGCATGCAGCAACTTCCCCAAATGCTAAATGCTCCTAAAACTTTTGCCAATAGCTAGTCAGAAGCCTCAGTATAAGCACAGTCATTGGTACTGGGAACTATTAAGCATCTGTTTCTCTGCAACAGCTCCTCTGTAGATTGTAAGAAATCAAAGGTGAGCAATGCTTCTGTTTGAAAACATTTCACGTGTCCATTTCGGATGTCGGCAGCAGCGCTCTCCGTACGTATTTTGTGTGTAAGTCACAGCAGATGGGGATGAATCTTCTTGGTTCATATGAACTGAACCATACTAAACACATTGGATTAACCTCTTCAGAAGAATTTCAGTAAAATGAATAGAGATTAGAGAAAACAGGGAATCAATGGGGTTTATAACTTTGAATGAACAGGCTACACTATTCAAAACATTTTGAAAGTTGCTTTAAACTGAAACAGGTATTTCAGACTTTAGAAAATGCAAATCATAACATAAATAGGTCATTTACTCCAAGTGAAGGAGAACTATTAAAAGATTCAGCTCAATAGTGACAGTCCCTGGGAATTTAGGTATCTCTTTAAACACAGTTTAGGTTCCTACAAGTTCAGCGTGAAGAACAGCATTCCACGAGGGCCTTCCCCCACTCTGTGCAGCCGGCTGTCACCAGGAACCTCCCGCAGAGGGGTTGCTTTGGTTCAGCACAGCTCTTTGATGCCTGCCAGGAGTGAGTGTGGCTGGTCAGAACACAGCTACCTCCCAGCACATCGGAGATCCGACCTGAAGTACCTCCCAGACCAACTGCTGGGGGCCCAGGAAGTAGACTCACGCCTTCCAGCCCAATAGGCATGTGTATCGCCCAACCAGCTTATGCCATGCCTACAGAATTCCACAGCTGTGGGATTTGCTATCGTACAGTAGATCGTCTTTTCCCTGTTTTGGGGATGAGAGGAGTGTAAAATGCAATACAAGAACAGATGCAAAAGCTCTGCCCAGGACAGGATGAAGAGTGGGCACAAGGGTGACGTGGTAAGACAGAAAGGCAACTCCTGCAGAAATAGCAGGATAGAAAGCTGGAGGTATGCAGACTAACTCTGGGACATCAGAGCTAAAGAGCTAGGCACTACTGCCCTGCAGCAGTTATTTCTGCTTTATTCAATTACTGCTAAATTAAGATAGAACGCAAAAACAAAACACTTACGATAGCAACTCTACAGAAGCATGGACATAGTCAGGAGTAACTCACCTGCAACCGATGCCTCCGGACTTTGCTGATCTGGTCTGCCTTTGCTTCCATCTTTCCCACTAGCGCCTCGAGTTCCCTCTCCAGATCTTCCCTCACCGCAATGGTTGGGGCTTCCCGGACAAGCTTTGACAGCTGCTGGTGATCACTAGCATGGAATTCAGACAGAACAAAGCTTGCATCAGACTCCCTTGGCCCCTAGTGCTTGTACACCCAGTTCAGAAACAACACTTCTAGGAAACCATAGCATCAGCAGCCAGACATGTTCAACACGCTGTAACGAACCGGTAAGAAGAGTTTTGCTGGTTGGCAGCGTTATTACAGTAGCACATCCTGGTGGCAGGCTGCTGCAAGGTGAAGTCTCCATAACATAAATAGCTTCATACATTCAAAAGGACCAAATAACCCCTTGAGGGCATGATCTCAGCACTCATTCAGTTACTGTTTTGCATGTGCAGTAGGACAACAATTCCTGTTCTGTTAACCAGGACAAGCAAACTGATTAGCAAGGCTGTCCTTTAGTGGAGTATCTGTCCATTGCATCAGGGGCTGTTACCACACTTCTCCCCAACCCCTCACAAATTTGATACTGCTGTCTATAAAAACAGGTATGCATCCCAGACTGTTTTAACTGCAAAAATAAATGACGGCCTCCGCAGCCAGTAAAACAGAGAGATCATATGGCAGAGATTTCCCAAAACTAAACCCTTTCTCAGGAAAAGCCTTCCAACCTCAAAGCAAAAGGCAAAAATATAAACCATCTACATTCATGATCTGCAATGGAGAAAATGTCAAACTCACAAACTCATCTGCCCAAATTCGTCTTGTAAAGTTAGCAGCACTTCTGAGAGCTCTTCCTGGGATGAAGAAGATTCCTTTGGCAGCGATGACTTCCTGTTTGTGCTGGCAGGATGAGCAGCACTGATGGGTTTTGCCAGTGGAGTATCATTTACCACACGACTGTTACACAGAGCTTTTGTGTGTTGTTTCATCAGGTGTAGAACATGTTGCACGTTGGCGCCAACTGAATGACTGGGACTGGTAGACTGGAAGGAAAAGTAAGACAGACTTCTTTTAAATGGCATTGTCAACAACCTACTTGGTAATAATGGAGAGCGTTTAAAAAGCAATAACATTTTGATTTGCTGCCAAGAATGTATTTTTTGTTTGAATGAATACGCACTAACAAGAACAGCTTGACTAGCAGCACAGAGAGGACACGTTGTTTGGAAATGCCACTTCAGCAAGTTATCGATACTCAACAAGGCTTTTGAAGACAAACTGGCAGTCAAAGAAAATGAAATGATCCGACCACTGGGTGTCAGGAGTGCACCAAGCCAAAGCCACTTAAGGAGCTGCAGCTACCAAGCACAAAGCTTTGGAATTAAACAGCTCACCTTCCCAGCTACAAAGGGTACATCACCCAGACACAGTCGGTAATGGGGCTGCGTAGTGAGGTTGCTCGCAAGAGAGCATTTCTGGAAAGAAAGAAGAGAGAAATGTTTATCTAAGATGACACTACAACAAAGCCATTTTCCCTTTGCTTTGTAATAAAAGAGGCAGCCTACCTTCCTCATTGCATGCACACATGTTACCTTCTCTGGCTGCTTAGTTTTCTTCCTGGGTTTTCTTGCTTTTGGAGAAAGCAATGGTGATGCTGCTTGAATCAGTAGTCTGTTGGTTTCCAGGCCTGTCTGAAGCTTTAATTGAGAGAATAAGGGGAGTTACTGGAATTATATTAACACATAAACAGAGACGGAGTAAGCTGAGAATTGCAAAACAAGAATTTTTAAAACACAGGTTCTCTGAAAGCAAGAGCTGCACGTTTTTAGGATGCTTCTGCAGTCCAAGGTCAATTTAAATATTAAATAATTCCTCTGGTAGCACTACTCATCACTAATCCTAGTACGTTAGAGAATTAGTCTCACTGCATTACTCCCATGCAGGCAAGTGCCAAAACATCAGCTGTGCTTTACACTTAACGAAATGTTAGGGAAGTCAAGCCACTCAACCCTGCTCAACTGATTCTGTGGCATATAGTTAACAGACAAGTATTCTTTCTGTTCTATTGAATTTGACAGTAAAAAATACCCCAAACCATCTATTGGAAGAGTTAAGGTCAGGATTCTCACAGTCAACATTGAGCTCTATACCCTTCGCTGTTCCTTCCAACAGGAAGCTATGGCGTGGCTTTAGAAATCAGCTCCTAAGCTATCTCCACGAGAAGCATGCACAGAACAATTCTTCATGACTGATTTGAGATGTAGCCCTCCCCCCCAACTCACTGCAAAGGCTAATGCCAGAGCCTAACACATTACCCACATACTACTTCAGCATACCATGAGTATTTAATGAACGCAGCACCTCAAGGTTAGGAGAGGACCAGTGTCCTTATGGACTCATAACCAATAGTACACTGCCTCTTTTTTGCCTCCTACAATATTTCTAGTTAAACTTATGAACAAGGGAGCACACTTGTTGACCTTGATCTGTTTAAAACAGAGATCCTCATACATCCTCATCTATGCATTAGTTTGAATTTCTACTCCTCTTTTCCAACTAGCTTCTCTTATTGAAGAAATAAAGCTTCAATGCACAGGTGCTGTTAGAAAAAAGGTTTCCAAAGAGCTCAGAGAACTTCAGAACATTTGGCACCTCAGACAGGAGAACAAAACAAAACAAAAACAAACTAACACGAGGTTTTAATTATTCTACATATGGAAGAAACTTTCAGCAAGTTTAGTTGAAAAGTTGATGGAAAGGAAGAGCTAATTACAGTGCATACCAGTACCAAAGAAATTTCCTGTCGGTTACCTCAGCTGCTTTTTCCTGAACAAGCTTCCTCGCGTGTTCCTCCTCCTGAAGCTTCTGTTCCAGCTCTTTCATTTTTTTCTAGTCAAAGTTGAATAAAAATAATAGCATTACTAATTAAACAGTTGTTTTCTTCCTGAAGCCTCCAATACTAAGAGCTTGAGCAAAAGTGTATCAGCTCAACTTACAACTTAAAGCTAAGTGAAGACTTCAGCATTAGAATGACCGCTGTCTGAATAGGCATAAATACAGCAGTCAAGTGCTTATGCTTAAAACTTAACTTGATTTTTCTATTTTTACTTCCACAATTGGTATCTGAATTTAACTGGCAGCTGACAGGGCGAGTAATACACAAGGCTGTCTTTCTCTTCAGTTGTAAAAATCCCAGAAAGTAGGTTATTTTGTGTACATTATCTTGAAAGATTTTGTACTACAAAAGAGCTAACACAGCTGTATCGTGTCAGTATAAGCGGAGAGAAGACTGACTTTATTTAGACCACTAATGGTATTTTTGCCGGTATCTGTAACTTATATTAGAAGAGAGGAATTTTTGAACATCTAGCCACATTCTTAATAAAAAAGAGGGAGGAAAGCTTATATGATGCCACTGAGACATCTTTAAGCAAAACTGAAGTGATTTCATCTTTGTATGGTTAAAAACATGTAAGAACTCTTTTGAAAGCCCTTTTCAAAGAAAAGAGTTAAGGGGAAAGGCACACATTTCTTTGTAAACCCTCCAACAAGATGAAAACCTTGTTTAAGCAGGATACGCTTAAACTCCCAATGTGCAAGTTATTTGATAACATTCTGATTTTATACAGCAGAGTGACAAAAAGGATCCAGAGCTCCAGGACACAAAACAGCTTCCCTTCTCTTTCCCCAAAGACTGATTGTTCACAGAGCCACAAACCAAGGCAGAAAAGCATGCAGTTCAAAGTAACAGCTCTATTTGTACACTTCTGGGTTTTTTTATAAACCCACTATGCTTAGGCAGTAAATATTTCAGTTCTGCTTTACTTAAGCATTAACTGCAAGATTAATGTAAACAGCTCTTATACAAAGGTGTTAAAAAGCAAAATCCTGGATAAACATCAAGGACAAAGGCATTATATAATGGAACCAACTTCTTCTGTTGAATACAAGAACCCTTTTGACTATTTTTTTTTTTTTTTAATTTTCATTCAAATCAGGTATATTCCAGGTAATTTCTTCTGCCCTTTACAGCATGCGGCACAATTCTTGATTTCCATGTGGTCAGTCTCACAAAGATCTTTTGTTACTTAACCCATTAAGTATGACACAATTTTTAGTATGAAAATACTGAAGCAAATCTTCTGTTTGAACTGAAAACTGACATGAAGCTGGGCCAATGCTTTTATACTGAAATGAATTGAGTTTTCATTCAACCAGCTGTTTAGCTGCAGTGTGCAGTTCAAACTGCACAACAAGATATCTTACTGTGTCACCAGTGATAGAACCTGTTAGAAATTATCTATCCAAGTTATATTCCCCAAAGAAATTTTTTTACTTGCTTATAGAAAATAGCATGAAGAGAATTACTGGTTCACCACTGAGAGGGAAAGGCCAGAGGGCCAGCTAACAACAAACACAGAGGCCACATAAGGCAGCACAGCACAGAAAGCATGCTGCAGGTCAGCACTGGGCTGCCTAAACCACTCTGCTCAGTCACCAGTAGCCACTGCAAAAATATTCAATGAAAAAATAGAAATAAAATATTTCAATGTCTTTTTTTGCCTGTTTTCTAAGAGAAAGTAAGTTTTGTGTAATCACTTCATAGAATCATAGAATAGTTTGGGTTGGAAGGGGCCTTTAAAGGTCATCTAGTCCACCCCGCCTGCAGTGAGCTGGGACATCTTCCACTAGATCAGGTTGCTCAGAGCCCCGTCCAACCTGGCCTTGAATTTTTCCAGGGATGGGACATCTGCAGCTTCTCTGGGCAATCTGTTCCAGTGCCTCATCTCCCTCATTGTAAAAAATTTCTTCCTTATATCTAGTCTAAATCTACAACCCTTTAGCTTAAAACCATTACCCCTTGTCCTATCACAACAGGCCCTACTAAAAAGATTTTCCCCATCTCTCCTATAGGCCCCCCTTAAATACTGTAAGGCTGCAATAAGGTCTCCCCAAAGCCTTCTCTTCTCCAGGCCCCAACTCTCTCAGCCTGTCCTCGCAAGAGAGGTGCTCCAGCCCTCTGACCATTTTTGTGGCCTTCTCTGGACCTGCTCCAACAGGTCCATGTCTCTCCTGTGCTGAGGACGCCAGGGCTGGATGCAGTGCTCCAGGTGGGGTCTCACCAGAGCAGAGCAGAGGGGCAGAATCACCTCCCTTGACCTGCTGGCCACACTGCTTTTGATGCAGCCCAGGGTACAGCTGGCCTTCTGGGCTGCAAGTGCACGCTGCCGGCTCATGTCCAGCTTTTCATCCATCAGTACCCCCAAGTCCCTCCCAGCAGGGCTGCTCTCGATCCCTTCAACCCCTAGCCTGTATTGATACTGGGGGTTGCCCTGACCGAGGTGCAGGACCCTGCACATGGCTTTGTTGAGCCTCATGAGGTTCACACAGGCCCACCTCGCCAGCTTGTCCAGGTCTCTCTGGATGGCATCCCAACCCCCAAACAACTTTAATCAGAGAAGACAAGAAGATATGCAACCTCAAAGATACAGAGCATCTAAATTTTGTAAAATTGGCTGCTGGGGTAAAGTTCCAAATTAGTTCCACCAGAGAGGAAATGTCTCCAGTATGAAGACAGCTTTTATCTCTGTGTTTCACTACCATGCAAATTAGCACCTGCTTGACAGCTTAAGCAGTCAGCATATACCCAGCTGGAACAGGGCAGGTGTTGGTTCTCACCACCTGGCAATTAAGAGGATAGAGAAAAAAACACAACTGAATGAAAGGAGTCATTACTTCCATTGCTCACAGAATGGTGGGATTCTATTAAGTGTCGTTGTTAGCATTAAGAAAAGATCAATTACTACCAACTACAGTTCATCAAAACATGTCATCTACACATACTTTAAAATTCTGGCCATCTGGCCACATGCAAGACCAGAGCCCAAACTGCACTTTTAGGGTACAACCCCATCCCCTAACTCCATCCTCAGACAGGGTTCAGACCCCCTCAGTCAGCTATCCAGAGACTGCACTGCGAAACTACAGGTGCAAGAAACATACACCAAAAAAATGCTTTTGAGGCAAGTACTCCAGTCAGGAGTCCTTCACATGAATAAGAGCCTCAGCATTTCCTTTTCACAGGCAATACTAACTTTGGCAAATTGCTTGAAGGTAATACTTATAGTGCCAGATAGTGGCTCTGCAGAGATTAAAAGCTCTCAGTAAGACCCATACACAACTTGCGCTCTGGCAGTGTCTGAAATCAGTGGCAGTTAAATCATTGCTCACACACGAGCGGTCATCTCACTGCTTTCCAGCCATTTCAGCACACCTTGTATAGAAATAGCCTTTCTTGCTTCAAATTAAACTTGCAAATGTTCCTGTGGTCTTGCCACAACCAAAGCAGAGATTGAAGAGGCAACAGATGCAACTGTTCTGAGCAAAGTGTGCAGTCACCCTTTCAGGATTCTACAGTAACACTTTGCACATGGATGCTCACATAGAAACGCAGCCTGCAAGCACAGAGGCAGATAGACCTGCCGATCAGAAAACAGCTCATGACAGCAAAATGATCACAAGGAAAATGACCTTTAGTCAGAGTTAAATCCAGATTTCTCTTAGTTCCTAGAATTGATTCAAAATTGTGTGAATTTAACATCCAATTCCACTAAAATAGATTAATAGATTTAATTGTGACCACTAGTAATTCCTAAGGATATCAAAGAATCAAAGACATCTAGTCTGATCTAGGGGAGAAAAAAAAAAAAAAAAAAAAAAGAACTGTTATGCTGAAACTATGTTCACTAACCAGGCACAAAAAGACAAACAATCCAGCCTCAGCAAACTCCAGCTGCTACCAGCCAAAAACTTGGTAAAAGCCCTTGAGAAAGGAATTCCTGTTGCTGAACCAGTTATTTCAACCCTGACCCTGGAGGGCCCTACTGCTACTTTCAGTGGACAAGGCCCAGGAGACATGCACCTCTCTTTGAAAGAGTTTGGCCCAGGTAAACAATGCAGGCACTTTTACTCCATAAATGCAGTTTACCAAAGCGGGGCGTCAAGATTTTAAAACAGCTTGTTACAGCTGCCTTGTGTCAGGAACTCCCAGGAATAGCTGTAGCGTCTGAAGGTCCTGCAGCAGACCAACCAGCTAAAGATTTACTGTCAAACATCTCATAACCTCCTGGAAAAATACCACCTACTTCAGCACCTGGCAAGGGCTGGCATGCAGGGTGGCAAGACTATGATTTTGATACAGTCCAGAGCCATCCTCAATACCACAGTCTAATCATGTGCTATCTGCTCCTTTGGATGGAGGAAATCTGCAGGTGGAAGCATCTCCCTCGTTGAGCCCTCTGTAGTTCCCATGCTTGGGAGTCTTGTGGTCTCTCTGCAGCAGCAGAAAGACACAGGATGCAGACTGGATTTCAGAAGCCAACACCACAGATGGTACATAGAAAGAATATGATCAAACGTGGTCATGCTGAACTTTTAAAAGCTACCTATTCAAAATGAATCCTGAAGAGGCAGACTGGTTCAAACCCACTGACAGCCAGCCAGTGCTAGAGGCCTAGCAATGTCTGGAATTCTGCAAGCAAAATAATTAATAACAATTGCATTTCTTAAGTAGGAGCATAAGTGGCTAAAAGAAAACACACACCAAACCCCCACAAGTCAAGTCAAATCTGGGTCGTAACAGGATATAACTGCTAGCATTCAGTAGCATGCAGGGCAACTCAGAAGCTGGGAGCTTCAGAACACCCGCAATCCCGACATGCCTAGGCATCAGCTAATCAGAAAAGAGGAACACCAACAGATACCATTAAGGCTAAATGAAGTGTAATGACCTAAAGCCTACCTGGCCATTCAGACTTCCAGCAATAACTGCAAGTTTTTACAACACTTCAACTTCAAAAAATGTTTAGCTGCTGTCTTTCTCAACAGCATAAAGTTTTGCTCAGGTTTATTACTGACATATAGCTATAAAGGGCTGATTACAATACACAAGATATATCTGATACAGTATCCAGTACAGACCTCTGCTATGGACTGCATCATAGTAAGTCTGCTGTACTCTTTTTCCAGCATATCCAGCTTTTCCAATTTAGACTGAACATGTGACTGATCAAGAAGCCGATCTCGCTCCAACGAACCCTTGAAAGGAGAAGTGAAAAGCAAAACAATTATAAGCACAACAAAACAAGACCATCTGTAGTAAGCCTTATGTCTACAGCACAAAGGAAGCCTGTAAACAGTTCAAAGGAACTGCTGCTTCCTCTCTGCAATTTTAGACAGTGCTACGATTAAGGAGCAAACTGCACCACTGGTTCACCATTGTTGGGAACCTCACCCTCAACCAGATTGAGAAGAGAGAATTCTGCAGAGTCTCTCCTCCCTCCAAACCCCAAGGGGTAAAAACTCCTCATTACTCAGCTATTAGAGATAGATAGCTTAATTTTTTTTCTTCAGTAAATATCTAACAGACTGAAATAGGACAGCCACAGAGACCAATGAACAGAGAGCTCTAGGTGATCCATACTCCTATAAAACAAAATTCAAGCTCATTTTAGATATAGGCCAAATACCACATTCACTGATGGTGGAAAACAGAAATTTTACTATTATTTCTACAGAATCAGTATTTCAACTTCAGTTTAGCAAAAGTAGTACTAGTAAGGAAAATCCCCAAAGATCTGAAGAGCGTAAACACAAAAGGGAGGGTTTTTTTCCCCAGTGGCCCATGGGTATAACACTGAGGGAGGAGGATAAGCTACTGCAATACGCCAGTCGTGCAGGAGCAAACAATGCTTATTGCCTTAAAGACAAGTGCACTAAGGCAGAAAATACCAGGGTCCTGGTAAGACTGGGAAATTTAAGCATGGAAATTATCCACACCTAAGTATATAAAGGGCAGCTGAAAGACATCCATGCTTAAGGATATTAAAATTACAGTAACTACAAAAAATCATGACGTGGTTCATGATTTTTATAATTTAACCCTGAGATAGTCTTGAGAACACACCTGTTTCTCCAGGAGATGCGACTTCTCATTTTCTGCATGCTGGATCATTTTTCTCATGTAGTCCAGCTGTTTCTCCAACAGGCTGCACCGAGACTCAGCAGCTGCCAGCTGAGAAGCCAGTTCTGAAGGTAACAGAAAGCAGAAAAGTGAATCACACACTCCTTGTTCCTGGGATTTCTTTTGTTTTCAGGATGAATCATAGAATCATAGAATATCAGGTTGGAAGAGATCTCAAGGATCATCTGGTCCAACCTTTCTAGGCAAGAGCACAGTCTAGACAAGATGGCCCAGCACCCTATCCAGCTGCGTCTTGAAAGGACGGTTCCAAAACAAACAAGAAAAGGACCATCTAAGGAGACCCACTGATTAAGCTTAATGAACTTCTGTATGCATGCAAATCCCTAAAACAAAGTATGCTTTTAAAATCATTTCTTTATAACTCCATGCATCACTACAAAGTGAAAGATGCTGAACAAAGTAAATTAAAATAGTTGCATGCACCGATAAAACTGAAGTTTCATCCACATCAGTGTTCTGCAGTATCTATATAAAGTTTGCAAACAACCTTGGTTTTTCTTTGACACTTCAGTCTTGTCATGCTCTTTGTGTTGCATTTGTTCACTTAACACTTTTTTATAGTCTGCTGTTTCTCTGCTGAGGTGTTTTACATTCTCCTCCGCCTGAAGCCGTTCCAACTCCAGTCGATGAATTTTTTCTTGAAGATTCTTCAGAGCAGAAAATATTGCTGTAATTAAACAAGTACATTTTGTTAGATACCATTAAATCACCACTTCAAGATAACATTGAACTTGACACATTCTTATAAAAGCATGTTATGCGAGAAAGTCAGAGTGTTCCTTACCAGCATCCAAGACTCCTTCCAGGAATTAAAACCCACTCCCTTTAAACCATAACTGAGTCTAAAACTAGTCTCAGACAAACAGATGCCCTTGGTTCACACCTTCTTCTAAAATATTTGGGAGACATGCATCCATTTCCCAGAAAAGGGCATGTAAATATTCTGTAGATTAAGTGCAAACAATGCATTTTCTGACTTTATCAAAAGGAAATGAAAGGTCACAACTAGATAGTTAAAACAGTGGCAGTTCTCTCTATTATTATTATTCCTCTAGAAGTGCATGGTAGCACAACAAATACACAAACACAACATTCCTATGAACGGTCACAGAGCAGAATAAAGGTTAGCTATTAGATGGGCTATAAAAACATTTATTTCTCTAAGTGGCAGGTCTTTTTTGATTCTTCTGGTTTTGCACTTGTGTTCCCCTCCTCCTCCTCCCCCCC